CAAATCAATAAATATAAATTATACATGCGAGGATGTACCGCTGCCAACATAAAGCCCCTAATTAATTGCACTTGATTAATTTATATACTTTAATTATCTCTCTAAGCCGCACAAGGCATAAATATCAGGACAATCTGCTTATTGCTATGTCAGTCATAAAACGGCAGACGCTAGGAAACGATTAGCACAGCCAGAATATCATCACTGGGAAACACACAGTTGCTGACAGAAAAAAGTCAAAGCACTGAATAATTTAAAGTAAGCAAAAGCAATGAGTGAAGGCCTGGAACAAGACCACTGCTTTTCTTTTATGCATCCCGGCTTTAATGCAGTAAGTGATTCGTTACTGCATGTTGCTCAAACAACACGAACAACAAGTCTGGCTCAGAAACGTACAATTTCTTCTCTGAATTCCTGTTCAGTATCACATTTATCTAGTCTAATATACCATTTTTGTTGTTAATAGTATTAATAAAAATAAAAATCTAAAAATGACAACTATTATATTATGCTGACATAACAAAAGTGCATTAATTTAATATTTTTTCATTTACAGCAGCTGATTTACTTTTAGTTGTAATTTAAATGAATTTGTCATGTTAATCACTTGTTGGCCTATATTCAGTGTACGTATATATACATACAAATTCAATCCACCAGTCTTGGATACTGTGTGCTCTAGATAAATGAACAAAACTGAATGTGTTGCCTTAGAGATGCTCTCAACACATGATACAATTCCATTATGAAGAAATCTAAGGACCAAAATCAATTTATGAGCCTGTCTTGCCGTAATGGCCTTTAGGAGAGAGCGGAGACGGCCAAAGGAAGGCAAACAATATAATTAAAGAAATGTAAGATAGAGAGAATGAGTGTGAAAAAAGTACAAAAAAGTAAAGGGGGGTTGTAAATGAGTTTTAGGAAAGTGAAAGAGGAGTTACATCCTGATGCCTGTTAATTACGGTTTTTAGAACAATTAGCCCAACAGGGAGCATGACAGAATAATTATGGTATCCGTGGTTACAGTGGAACATTAATGTGTCCAGGTACAGTAAATATGTCGGTACCCGAGGTGACGCGACCTTGCACCCCTCACCTAGATATACGCTAAATTGTCTGCCCTTGTGAAATTGTGTCCTAATGGGCTTTAGAAAATTACAGTGTCTGCCATGGGTCTTATCTCTTTAAACAAAGAACTTGTGTTTTTTTTAAGTTTGTGCTAATTATACATCTTCAGCAATTGGATTTGTGGCAGTTACAGAGACTGTTGACATGTCCATAGTTTCCAGTTAAAATTTAGACCTCCAACACACTAGCTCGCCTGGACTTTATGAAGTAACAGAAGCCAGAGTGGTGTGCTGTATAGGTGCTTGTAGACAAAACAATTGGTGTGCATAAATGCCAGACTGTACGTAAAAACACCTGAGAGAATTTGGCTGAAACATCAAACACACCCTACACACCGCATACACACATTCGTCTGTTAGCGTGCCAGTGACTACAGAGAAAATAGAGCTCCTTGTCTCTCTTTAATTTGGGTGTTTTATCTATAGAGCTACAGACTACAAGAGAAACAACTTAGCAGACAAACTTTGTATTGCTTATAAGTTTGCGGTTGCAAATGTTCATGATTTGTATTTGATCTTACAACTGTACATTTCTGCCATATGGACATTTCTTTGACACAGAGACCTGCATATTTAAACGATATTTATTGTGAAAAGTGCTAAAAAAATAAATGTGAATTGAATTGAAAGTCTTTAATGTTTACCAATGCTGCATTTAGGCCTATTAGATCAAACATACAATACAAAAACAGCAATTTCTCCAGTCTCACATGATCCTTCAGAAATCATTCTAATATTCTGATTTAGAGTTAAAGTAACATTTATTATTATTATCACTATAAAAAGTTACTAGTTAACAGTTAATATTTTTGTGAAAACGATGCATTTTTCAGAATTCTTTGCTGAAAAGAAAGTTTAAAATAACAAGTCTTTTTTTTATCATTTCTAACAAAATAAAACATCTTTACTGTCACTTTTGATCAACTTAGTGAATCTTTACTGAATAAAAGTATTTATTTATTTATATATTTTTTTTATCACACTGACCCCAAACATCTGAACGGGCATGTATATCTAGTATTAAAAAAAAATAACATGTCCATAAACAATGTTTTACAAGAAAAATAGAGTATCCTTAGCAGGTATTGTTTATAGGTAAAGTTCAATTTGTTCAACACAAAGCTGAAACATAAACCTAAATACTGTCAGCGAATTTAAATAAACAGCTGGAATCAGCGCATCTGGGGTGCTACTAATCATGCTGTGTTTCAGAGATCAGCACACACACATAAACAAAATAATTCACAAGAGGGTTTAACACATATTACCACTACAATGCCTTTGAAAGCAGGCAAAAATGTTTCCGCTAGCCACACTTCTCTTTTGTTTACATAAACATGTTCTTCAGACAGGCCGAGTGTGTTAATCATCCCGATATGATACAGTCACTGTTAAAGCATAATGACGCTTTGCTCTGTGTCATTTAGTACTGGTGATCAATCAGACACTCATTTAGCTTTAATTCATGTAGATGCACACCTAATACTCATTACAAAGACACAATTTCCCCCAGTCACAGCAGATTAATGGTAGTCCATCTCCGTGTGTCCTGCATCCTGTGTGTGTGTGTGTATATAGATAGATGACTCTCTCTCAGGAAGAGCAGCTCGCAGACTGACTTTTCCTAAAGACGTTTTATGACAAATGGTCCGACACAGCATAACTTCATCAGAGAAGACAAGACAATGAGAATCTGAAACAAGACTGAGAAGAAAAGCTTGTATTCTTCTTTTTAATGGCATACATGTACCAATTGATTTGCCTACAAATTCCAACATGTTTTATAAATGAGTGAAGTTATGAAAAAAAAAAAAAAACAATTCATAAGGTTTTTTTATTGTTTCTTATGCTCACCAAGGCGGCATTTATTGGATCAAAAATACAGTAAAAATTATAATATTGTGAAATATTTTAAAATATTGTGAAGTAGTACAATATGAGTATAACAATACAATAACTGTTTATATATATATTTTAATATGCTGATGTGCTGCAGAAACTTGTATCATTATCAATGATGAAGACAGTTGTGCTCTTTACTTAAACTGAGATACATTTTTTTCAGGATTCTTTGATGAATAAAAATACAGCATTTATAGAAATCTTGGCTTCACTTTATTTTGTCCATTTAGCACATTCTGTTGACTATAAGTAATGTTGTACCTACGATATTAAGCAGGCAGTCTACTTATACTCTAATGAGTTAGTTGACATGTAGGTGCAAGGTTTTTCATAGTCAACAGAATGTTCAAAAGGGACCATCAAAATAAAGTGTTACTGAAATCTTTTGTAACATTATAAATGTCTTCAATGTCTCTTTTGATCAATGTGTCCTTGTTGAATAAAAGAAAAAAATATATATACAATGTATAAAATATAAACATGCATAAAAGTATACTAAATAATCTTCATAAATATATACGAGACAGAAAAACGACAAAAATGCCTAGTTGAATTATTGCAAGCAATCACAACAATCCTCTACAAGGCCATGCATGTACACGGCCCGCGTGCGCATGTGCGGCATTGACCTTTTTCAGCAAAACTTCATCAGTCTTCGGTCAGCTGTCTTTTACCTAAAGTAATTATGCCCTACGGGAGCTCACACGGGGACAAACGGAGCGGTTCATACCTCAGAACTGGTCACATCTCCTCCGCTGATCCTTTCACAGGGAGTGTGCTGGCATAGAAAACCTCTTCCTGCCTCTTCTCTTTGAGAAAAAAAAATACCTCCACAAAACATGGCACAGGAAGTACCCACACAGTGTGGCATGCCTCGCACATTCAGTGGCACTTATACCCCTCAGCTTCAAAGGCAGACAAACTAGAAAACAGTTTGGTATTTTTCCACTTAGACAAAGAGGCTTTTAAAAGAAAGAAATCGAATTCACACCATTGTGAAATCCAGAAGTTACACGAATGAATGGAAATATTTGGTAAAATAAAGACAGGATGCAAGGCTGGACTCTTTCAACATTCTTTTCTGAAATAATATACAAGCTTTATTATTACAGGTTATGGATCATAAGACAATGCAGCATCAGTTAGTAAAATCACTTGAAAAACAGTGTTTGGAAGTAAACCAAGGAGAAAGAGAGATCCAAAATAATCCATGAATTCTTGATAAAAGAGTCTTGTGTTAATAGACACTGTCCTGTCTTTTTCCTGCGTGTTTTTGTGTTACATTGCCGTCTCGCAGCGTGAGCGTGGCTGAGTGGGGATTAACTCTGAACACTGCCAGAATACAGCATGTGTGTGTCCTCGGAAACACTAACACAAGCAAACCGCGTCCCACTGCCCCAGTAGACACAAACACACACACACAATGTTGTCCAAGAGAGGGAAACCTCGCCTCTGATGATCCTCATCCAACCTCTCTTCCACTATTCTCCTGCATTATTCACTCAAAGACACACACACAAACACAGACAGTATTGTGCAGGAATTCCTGTCTCACAGACTCTCAACCTGCAGCCCACACTAGGGGTTGAGCGAGGGAGACAAGCGAAAGAGAGAAGCCGGTAGGGTGGGCAACAATTATAATAATTGCCAGGGCACTCAGCTGAAGGATCAATCAGCTGTGATTACAAACACTCCTGCATGATCAAATATTAATCTGCTGTACCTTCAGTCTGACCTGCTAGCACAGAGCCTCTTACCGACTTATGCATTAAGCGATTTGCACAAGCTGAACTCATAGCACCTAATAATATTGGACATGCAAGTCAGAGCATTAAAGGATCTTCCAGGAACTGAATTGACTTACAATAAACAGGGTAAAAATAGCCAAGCATAACAACCAGGATAACCCTTATATGACAGTCCAATTATATTAAAGAAGGTATGACTGTAAAAACCAATTAAGGCAAATTCCACGGGCCAGCTGATGGATTTTGCTCGTCATGTCCTGGGGAGCTGCAAAGTCAAAGACAGAAAGGTCAGCATTTAATGACAGTAAACACAGCAATGGAGCAAAAGATACAATTCATTTCACTTCTCGATTCTGAGAAGATGAAGATCAAATATTTTGCAATAATTTGTTTATGAATGGATACACATATAAAAAGTTTCAAATTCTGCAAAATAAAGTACCCAATTGTAAGGTACAATGGCCACACATATATGATTGTAAAGTCAGCTAGATAAAATATTTTATTATATGAATAGTATTTATATTGGTTTGAATAATATTTAAAGTTAAATTTCATATTATTTATTCTTATTATCAGTTTTACTAATAGTAAAATCAATTAAAACAAAATGATTCTGAATTTTTCATGTTAGCTTTACCAATATTGGTAGTGTTTATATTATATAATAGTATTTATTAATATTAGATTTACTAATAATAAAAACGATCATGATAACAAAATTGATCTGAATATTTTATATTTTAACATTAAATATAAATATTTATTTGTAATTGAATTCAGACTACTAGAGTACAGTTACATTAATGCAGAACTGGAGACGGGAATTAATATTGAAAAAAAGATTGATTGAGACACTTTCAAGGAATCCCTTCAATTTAATTGAATCACTATTCGATTTAAATTTAATATATGCGTTGATATATGATAATCCACTGCGACTGGGATATTCACATCAAACAGGACAATGATTGAATTAATAGCCACATTAATTACTTTGTATGCAGACATGTATTAAAAGACAAGTGTCTGTTTCTTTTGTGGCAGACAGCAAATGGTGGTTAACGGGATTAATATGACATTAAATCAACTCAGACACTCGACATTTAATAACACAAAACAGCTTGTGGAAATCATAGGATTATTCCATGGGATTATAACAGTGCCCCCCGCCAGCAGGGACCTGAGAGCAGATAGGGACTCCAGATTACCTAATCTACTTACATCTACAAAGCATATTTAAATCAATATTTTTTTTTTGAATTACACAGATAAGGCTTATTCGACGATCATAATCTTATTTGAAACCATATTGTTTGGTCTGTTGGGTATTAGAGATAACAGATGTCAGGGTTAGCCTCCAGTAAACACTATTTGCGTTATAATAATTTGCGTAGATGCATCAGGGTGCTAAATGCTTGAAGAAATGTAGGGACAAAACAAAGAAAGACAGAAACAAAAGCAGTCAGAAGAGGAAGGTAGTTTAACGTATTTTTTTTTTTGAACTTTACAATGATAGTGAGTGTAGTACATTAGCATTTGAAAAACAACAGAAGATAAACATGTATTTTACTTCAGGGTGATTGATATATTAAAAAAATAATGGGGCACACACAAAAAGTATATAAAATAATATATACTAAACTATATTTTAAATATAAAATATATATATATATATATTATATAATATATAAAATATTTTATGAAATTTTAACATTTATAACTTTTATTTTATGTTACATAAAATATGTGTGAATGTAATATAATAATGCAATCCGTTTTAATATACACACAGGAGACGTTTTTTTATTTTCAAGAAATGAAAAAAAAAAAAAGCTTAATATCTTATAC